TGCAGCACAGAAAGATGTTAACGATACTGCTGGCATACTAAAGTAGGGAACTGTCTCAAGGACACACAGTAGCTAAAGTAAATAATGTACACTACATTTATAACAGATCACCCAGAAATGGGGGAGGGGGGAGCAGAACGGATGAGGCTAAGGCCCTGGACTGGCACTCAGAAGATTTGAGTGCGATTCTCACCTCTGCCACGGACTTATTCTCACTGGGCCTCAGTTCCCCATCTGCAAAATTAAGAATAATAAACTTGCTTTCTCCTTGCCTGTCTCTGTCACGTCTATTTAAATTGTGTGCCCTTCCAGACAGCAGCTGGCACTGTGAAACCTCCCTCTCAGTATAAAAACCTAGCTAGATAGCGCCTGCGTATCCCCTAGCTGCAAACAGAGCTGTCGGTGCAATCCACTGAATCAAGGGGATTTGCAGCCACAAACATGACTCTTACATGTGGCCTGCACCTTACAGTCAGAAGTGGCGTGGCTGCAATATATGTGGAATAGGGATCACAAAATGTTATTTAAACGTGGGTTCAATGCAACCGGCTGTGTTCCCGCAAGAGCAGTTACACACCACTCATCATATGCTACCTCCGGAAATCTCGTAGAAGGATTAGCGTGCCAACAAGTAGAGTACTGGTCTAGCCAGACATCTAAAGCATATTGGCACCACTTAAATTTGTCCATTCACCAATATGTTTTCCTAAAAACGCCCATATGCTTTGCCTGTAGCTCCCATATGCTTTTGTAAAGGAAAACAAAAACATTTTGTTAGTTGTGAGTGATTGATCATTCTGTATTTCACAGGAGTCAGATTTAAAACAACAAATAAAACCATTCAGCTGCAGGGCTTTTGCTTTTTCTCAAGGCTTTCTCCTCCAGTTCACTGATGAAATCATGGTGACCAAGAATGCACAGAGAAACACCAGGACATTGCAGTATACTTAGTGGGCATGTCACACACTATCAGATGCCTCGGGAAATACAGGCAGAATCCACATTACTGGGATACAACAGAAACAGTTAGGGCCCAGCCAAATTGACGGTCCATTCTGGTCAAGTTCAAGGTGACAGCATTTGAAAATTAGTCCATTTCAGGTTTTCAGATATTTACATCTGAAATTTCACATTGTTGTAACCGTGGGGGTCCCGACCCAAAAGGGAGTCAGGGGAGGGGCAGGGAGTGTGTCGCAAAGCTGTTGCAGGGGGGTTGCGGGATTGCCATCCTTACTTCTGGGCTGCCTTCAGAGCAGCTGGGGTAGGTACCCAGAGGCGGGTCTGATCTCCCCCACCCCGAGCGTGGCCGTGCGGGGGAAGAGCAACTCCCGTCCCTCCCCAGCCCAGAAGGGAGTAGCAGCAGGAGCCAGGGGCAAGGTAGAAGCTCCTGCTCTCCCCCTCTCCTCCAAAGCTAAATTTCACGGTCCGCGAGACGTTTTTCTTGGCTGTGAATTTGATAAGGCCCTAGAAATAATGGCCAGTGATTTCGAGGCCAATGCAATCTCAGGCTATAACTGGGATCAGACACTTAAGAGATGGTGATTCCGCTCTCCAATGCAAGGACATTGCCACCTTAATGTTTTTTGTATCTACTAGGACTGCCCACACACTTTGTGTGTGTGTGTGTCACTAGGCAACTGATCCCTTTGCCGGAAGTCGGGGTTACCTTTATTGGGTCCAAGTGCTCATTTACTAATTAACTATTAATGAGCCAGCCGGGGCAGTTAGTTGCAAGGTAACTGGCATAATCGAAATTTGCGTTCCCAGCTCTGCCGCTGTTAACGTCTATGCTGTTCTACTGGGTCTTTGCCCAGGCTGTCAGGCAGGGCCATTTGCATACAGATGGTGCTAGAGGGAAAGCATCTAGCCTGGAGAACCACAGCTTTGGTCCATTTCTGGTCACACTGTGAAGCCGTGTTGTTCTTCGGTGAATTATAGATTTCTAGGGCCAAATTCACCATGTCTTCTTGGGCCAGCCATAATACTCTGTGGCAAGTATCTGTTAATTGCTACAGTTGTTCCATTACCCCAAATAAAGACAGCTTTCCTTCGCAAAAGGGTTCAGTGAGGAGACACACTCCCATGGACACCGGCAGCTCCTGAGGAGAGGAGCTCCCAGAAGGCCGGATGAGGAGGGCTCCTAGAGCAGAGGGCCTAGATGCGCCGGGGGACACACAGCTCTCCAGGGAGCCCACCAGAGCAGGAGTCTGGAAGGTCACTCCTGGAGCTGGGAGATTCGCAGAGAGACAGCTGTAGTCGGCAGGCATCCAGGAGGACTTGGTCTCAGCCAGACAGTGGCAGGAAACCCCAACCTGACAAGAACTACGCACCGCTGCGGGGAAAGAACTGTAGCGGATGCATCTTCACGGACGCCTGCTTCCGGAAAAGGATCCTCTTCAGGCAGCGTCAAGAGACCTGATCCCAGGGGCAGAGACTTGAACCAAAAGAATCCCAGATGAAGAACCAGGATGGAGGCAAGCAGTGGACTTGGGTGGGAGACGGATGGACTGGGACTTACTGGGTCCCCCAGCTAGAATGCTGGGACAAATGTTTTGCTCATATTTTTTGCTGGCCTTTTCTGCTAAATAAATGAGCCCCTCTGAAGAGTGGACCCTCCTAAAGCCTGCCTGGACTTGTACTCCAGATGTGGGGGGAAATATAATGGCAGAGTTCACCCACACCTGACTACAAGGGGGGGTGCGCTGTGGCAGCTTGCACTGGGACAGTATCTACCAAATAAAGCCTGCCCATGCCGCACTGCAATGCTCTCTAGGTCTGACTGAATTTGCTCTCAGCAAGGATAGATTTCTTACAGTGATCTAATCTGATGCAGGGCCCAATTATAGGCTAGATGCAATAGGTAAAAGCCCAATTTTCCACAGGAGCGACGCTGAACAAATGGTCAAGAGAGAAGAAATCATTCTCTTGCTATGGGGCACACGGTAACGAATAATTTGTTGGCAGGATCAATTTCACAATATATTTTCTCATCGTAAGAACTGCGCACATTTCCCTGTCAGCCCGAGGACTCACAATGCTATAGATGATAATCTTTTTATTACATAGCAAAAACCTCTCCTTCCCCACTCCCAAGAGCAACAGTGCAGAGGAAGGGGCAGGTGAATATGGCATGGACAGAAGGACGGATATCATCGAGAGGGAGGAGGTTACCCCCACCTTTATAAAAAGAGAGGTATCAAAAGAAGTATAGATTCAGTGTTGGCAGCTGTTTAATTTGGACAGTTTATTAGATATTGTCAGGAAGGCATGGCAGAGAGACAGTAACGCTAACAAGAGACCTGCCATTAATCTTCAGTAACCCAGCAGCTGGGGAGCGCAGGCCTTGAATCAAATTCCCCTGAGAATTATTATTAATCTCCCATCCTCTGTTTATTAATCCTTTGCCCGCCTTCCTATCTCACCATTTATTAACGTCCTCAACTGTTTGCAGTAAACAGGATGCTGAAAACTCATCTCCAGCTCACCATCATTTACAGGCCACAAGAAAAAGAAAGGAAGGGGGAGGAAGGATGAGGAAGAACGAGTGAAAGTGTAGGATGAAAGCTGGCTCGGGGACGGCGACGGAACGGAGGAAAGGAAACCGCACACACTGGCTGCTGCTTTGAAACCCTGACGGTATTTCCAGGTACGTTTCCTTAGGCTCTCTGCAGTGCGACCGCCTGCCATCCCAGGATGCTGCCACAGCTGGAGAGATCAGCGTTCTGAAGAACGCGCTCTCGGAGACTCCCTCGGTTGGATATACGCCCACACAGGGAGTTCCAGCCCGTCGGCCGCACCTCCGGAAACCCTCAGCGCTGTAACGCGTGGTGAGCGGCGACACAGCAGGACCACGGCTCTCATGCCGCTGAATAGCACAGCAACATGGAAGTAGCTATATTGGCTCCGACCACTGAGTCCACCAACCTGCCATCATAGTTCTGACCGTGCGGCTATCTAATCTGCTGCCATACCTGGAGCAGCAGCCAGCAGCTGATACGACAAAAGAAGGCGGACACAACCCCCTAGTGCACCACAATAATCATGCCCTTGGTCTATGTGGGCATGGGAGGGTGAGGAAGGGAATTCTTTCTTGCCCAATAGAGGCCATCGACATACACCCTATATCATGTACGCTGATAGCGCTTAGCATGAAAAGCTACAGATGGTAGTTCTCTGGCCCCTCTCATACACACAAGCCACATAGTAATGTCGAAGGCGCTTAAACATCACCAGGTAAAAGAAGACCCACGCACCTGCATGTCGACATTATACATTTTTTTCCTTGGGGAAAACTAACTGGACACCAGACTCTCATGGCTGCACTTTACCTCCCTTTTCATCACCTGTCTATCGGTGGCAAACAGCTCTTGCTTGTTGTGGGACAGAAATTGCTATTCCAAACCTACCAGCTATGAATCTATATTCCTTCGTTCCCAGTTTTTCCATGGCTTACCCAGGCCTTGTTCTACGCCAATTACCATGACTCAAGAGCAACTCTAACCCCTGGGATGCTGTCACGGTTGATTAAGGACTGAGAATGGACCTACTTGGACAATGTTCCCTTTCAAACGTTCTTACCTGACGGAGCCTCTTCACTGGGATTTAATGATCCTACCTTGGGATAGAAGTGAAGAGCAAACTAAGGGGTGCGTCAGATCATTCAACGAGGGGCCGTTGCTGAAGGTTCAGAACTGTATCTCAGGCCGAGCGTTGGGTTCCTGCTAAATACCTTCAGTCACTTTAAAAGAATTTGTGATCCTGAAGAATGACCGAACCAGCTCAGCAGCATAGATCGATTTCTATTTAGGTCCTTCTAATGATTGAGACATGCTCTTTTCTTTACTGCCGCGCACTGAAGATATGTGAGACTTAAGCCAATCTGGATACAACTCAGAGGGTGCTGGGGTGACCACAGCAGCCAGCAAATCAGGTCCCTAGATCCCCACGTAAATCCTAAAATGAGCAGTTTACCAAGCATAGGGACCCCATTCCCCTCTCACCTCAAGTCAGGAGGCGCCCTCCAAGCCCAGGATGAGACGTAGTTACAGGAACGCTGAAGGGTCTCTGTAGAGGAAGCAGATAAAGATGTTTCCAAATTAGAATCAAACCCTTGAACTTCGTAACTGCCATAAGTAGATCAAGCTGGATACATCGCTTCAGCAAAAAAAACAAATGGGCTAATAAGCCCTCAGACCTTCTCTAATGATCACAGAGCAAGCCCTTTCCCTTACTACAAGTCCTATGTCTGTCTGTCTCCCTTTTTTTCCCCACATAAGGGCTTTTCACCCTCTCTCTGGAGAGATTAAATCTGAACTGGTGCTAGAGTAAGATGGGGTTTATCTGAGAGAGAAGCTATTTGTTTTAAATCGATTTAGAGATGGTGAAAGGCAGTAGCTTGGTTAACGAAGTCCTCTCTAACTCCCGAACAGACAGCCTTTTGCCCACAACCCTTAACATGCCTCCTCTCCCTGAGCTGGAGGGGACTCCCTTCAGGTGGGGAGGCAGTGGGGGAAGAGAACAAGACGAAAAAGCTGTTGCTTCTCCATCTAGCCCTTAGCTTCCCTTCTAGAACCATCAGCTAATACCATGTGTGGTGGTACGTTTGCCACAGGGACACCAACAAGAACTAAAATTGAGATCTAACTCATTTCACACAGGTCACTGAACAGCCACCAACCATGACAGACGAAGTTACCACGAATGTGAGCTGTTTTTTCATCCAGTGGTCGTAGATGCTGGTAGCCTGTTGACCACCCTCCACACCCAGCTAGCCTCTGTGCTTTCCGCGTTTTTCGGGGTGCCCTGTTGTGAACTTTACTTGTTACCTTCTTCTCCAGAACAACTTGATACCGGTGAAAGGTTTTGCATAAATGCAACAACAGCGCTTCATTTCTCCAAGCCATCCCTCGCCATTACATTTGCTGACGTGCAAGGATAAGTGGATATCCAGAGACCAACATCATGCAGCCAAGGGTGACTGGGATCTAACACGGTACCAGTAGGACATGACCCCATTTAACATGGATTGATGCAGGCCTCCAGGGCCTTTCACGTCTCAAGATCTGGGTTCAAATTCTCTACAAAGTCAGAAGTAGAGATGCCTTTGCTGGAGTTTCTCCTCACAACCCTTGAGCCAGAAATGAAGTTGACTAAGACAAGATGACAACAAAGTTCTTAAGCCAGCATCTGCTCACATTACATAGAACGACTAGACAATTGGCATATATGTCTTTGCTTAGAAGAGCCCCCAGATTGGAACGGCACAGGGTGCCACCCAGAATGAGGTTCACCATGAACAAGGGAGGAAGGGATGTGAAAACAACTAAAACAGCAGTTGGTTGCATCAGGTCGGGACTGAAGAACATAATGCATGGAGGCAGCTTGCTCAGGATCTGTCTCATGAGCAAATAATGTACATTCACATTTTAAAGACAATATAAACCCAGATTAAGTAACAGCAGAGAAGCAGATAAACATAACAACTGCCGAGGAGGCAGCATGTGCTCACAGGTTGGTTGTTTTTTGTTTTTATTGGGGAAATGAATGCAGAGGGCTTTTCTGTGTCTGTTACATTGTCTGCTCACCATTTGATGTAGCATGCAGACTGGAGACTTCAAAGGCTCATTCTTGCTTACATATAGAGACTGCTCTAAACTAATGCCCCAAATGCGACCAAAACCAAACGCATGATGAATCATTCATACCGCACACAGCAGGGCTAGTAAGCACCAGGCCTCGTCTCATGTGTGCTGTACTGCACGCATCTGTTTTTGGAGAAAGGAAATTCAAGTCCTCACAGGGTTACAAGCTTACTGCTCTGCGTCAGTAGCTTTGCATCTTCTCGGCTGGAAAGTGAAAGTAAAGTGAAAGCTTCAGAGCTGCAATTTAAGCATGAATAGCCAACGGAGTTAAGCAAAAATCCACTGGCACGGGCAGCAAATTATACAAACGCACGTGTCCATTTCCCCAGCCTGTCTTTGGAAAGTTTCAGAGGATAAACTGCATTGTCATTATTAGTCCTAATCAAAGGAGTCTTTTAGAGGGGTTTGAAAAAAAGGAGAGAGAGTCGCCCAAATCAAAAGCCCAGATCCTAAAACTGTGGAGAGCTTGGACCTAGTGCTGAACTTCATTGCTGGCATCATCTCTGCACTGGACCAAATCAGAACAACCCTGAACGCTGCAGAAGTTTAGATCTGCATCTGGATGCACTGGCCTGAGACTAAACTGGAGTCAACTGATGTAGCTCTACTGAAGTTGATGAAGTTAGTCCAGATCCTCCGTTGGTCTAAATCAGCCTATCAACTTTTCAACTCAGCCCACCCCCTCCCCCCAGTTAAATATCTTCTACCAAAGACCAGGATCTTCGCCATATTAGTTTGGATCATTTATTTAAATCATGCTCGAAGATTCACCAACATCTTTGGGCTGTGTTTGTATTTAAAAATAAAATCCCAATAGCTTTGAACACGTGTAAATATTTCACCAGATTTGTGTGGACGTGCAGTTGTGCTTCCAGCTTTACATCTGTGAACTGGCTAAAGGGAGAGCCCTGCAACGTGGTGCGGGCGGCGAAGAGAACACAAAACATCAAACTGAGTTGTGAGTGCCGGCTGGGCAAGAAGATAATAGTTGTTCTTTTCAGAGGCCTGAGGTATTATTCACCAAGGATTGTTTTGGGTTGGGAATGGACAAAGGCTGCAGAAAAAGGGACCGGGGGAGGAGAAAGGCACTCTGATACTATGGTAAAGAGATTGGTTTAAAACCCAAGTCAGACAAAACAGATTGGAAAAGGAAGCCAAATTCGGATTAGTTTAAACATTTTATATATATTTTATACAGGATCTTCAAAAACTTTACAGATTATGAGTAAAGAGGTCTTCATCCATTGGCAAAATGCAACCACTTGTAGAGTAGACTGATATACTTGTTTAACAGAACACAGCAACAGTACAGAACAATTTTAAAGACTGGGAAAATGAAGAACTCTGTATCCAAATGACGCTGCAGGGGAAAATGAGACAGGCCAGAATTTAACTAGTCAAACTGTTGTTGGGCCAGTAGGCCAAGATTTAAACACTTACTCTTGCAAAAATATGGAAAGAAGGGAAATGACAGGGTGTGGAGATTGAACAATGGATTAGGATCATAAGACCATGGGCTTTAGACATCGAAAAGTCATTTTAGATTAGCTGACTTCATCCCCATGCAAATGCAAGACAGCATCTCGAGAGAGATGATATTAACGTGATGCTATGCTATGGGTTTAGACATACGGCCAAGGAGAAATGGCACAGTTAGAAGAGAGCAGGGAAACCTCTCGGGCAAAGCTGAATACATAGAAAGTTAATAAGAGATGTAGTCTTAAGACAAGTAAACGGAAAAAATATATACATTCCATCCTCTCCTCCCCTTATACCTCATTAAATGGCTATACATACTTACTTCCCCCGGCCCCTAGTATTTTCTTGTCCATTTTTCTCAGTAACCACTGGATACAGTTTAAATATCAGTCTATCGCCATACTTTTCCGATCCCCATCACCATATCATCTCCGCAGCTTCACAAACATTAATAAGCTCATGATGACCATACCATTGTGAAGCAGGGAGGTACTATTAACCTCATTTTACCAATCCCTATCTGGGAAACAGAGAGGTTAAGTGACTTGTCCAAGGTCACACAGGGAGTCTGTAGCAGAGCCAGCAACTGAGCCCAGGTCTTGAGTTCCAGCCCAGTGCCCTGACCTCGTGCTCATCCTTCATCCCCAGAGGAAGACATTTGGTCACCAAGAGGACTGTCTCCTTTCTAATCAGCCTGCTCCTCATAAGCAATGTGAAATATTCTTGGCATGTTACACTGAAAAACACGCATTACATCAGACCATTCAAATGTGCACATCTAGGCCCCGCCTCCTCACATGAAGCCGCTCCCACAGTATCCTGGGGCTGACACACAAGAAAATTAAAATGGGCCAACCAGCTCACATTGCAATGAAAGCGCTCCTTGACATACGTGTGCACGTTGTGAGAGAAAGCCTTGGAAAAGGACAACTATGGGCAGCACAAATTCCTCTTCACATCAGTGAGCATTCTGATTTCAGTCAATAAAATAGTGTGTGGGGGGGTAGTATTTGAGCCATTTTTCTGTCTGATTTTAATTTCCTTGCATATCAGCATTTGCCAGGACTATCGTCAACACAAGGGATCATTTGACATCCTCGCTGATTGCATGCAAATTAATTGGATTCTTTGGGTTTGGATTTATTTTGCTTGCAAGTCGTTTTTGCCTTGAATGAAGAGGCTTTACCAGGAAATATTTTAACGAAGGAGGGGGTATTTTCAGGTCCCGATGTTGGACGCATTGTAGAGCACTGCACACAGATCTTTGTTTCACAGCAATCCATCTGCTGGATTGGGGGCAAGACCAGTATCCTGCTAGCGGCTAAGTTCCATTTGCCTCCCTTTGTGTTCTGTGGAACTCCTAGTCCCATTGGTCTGTGCAGACCAGAGCTTTGTATCGAGGCACACACTCACAAATATGTGTGTGAACACACACTCAGAAGCCCAGAAAAGCCCATTCTCTTTGCTATACGCACAATGGAGAAAGCCTCAAATGTTTTGCTCAACGTACAGTAACTCCTCGCTTAACGTTGTAGTTATGGTCCTGAAAAATGCGACTTTAAGCGAAACGATGTTAAACGAATCCAATTTCCCCATAAGAATTAATGTAAATGGGGGAGGAGGGGGTTAGGTTCCAGGGAAATTTTTTTCGCCAGACAAAAGACTATATATATATATATATATATATATATATACACACACACACACACACAGTATAAGTTTTAAACAAACAATTGAATACTGTACACAGCAATGATGATTGTGAAGCTTGGTTGAGGTGGTGGAGTCAGAGGGTAAAACAGGGTGGGATATTTCCCAGGGAATGCCTTACTGCTAAATGATGAACTAGCACTCGGCTGAGCCCTCAAGGGTTAACACATTGTTGTTAATGTAGCCTCACTCTCTATAAGGCAGCAAAAATGGAGGGAGGGGAGACAGCATGGC